AAATGTTACCGATACCGTAACATTTAACAAGATAAATGCGATGCTGTAAAGTAAGCATTATTTGAATAAAATTAAATATCAACATCTAATGTCACAACTAATGTCAAACAATTATTGATAACAATTGCCTTCTACAAATTATTGGTATTTTGATTATTTCCTTTGGGGCTTCTTGAAAGAAAGAGTGTACAGAGAACCAGTGCAACACAATGTTGACTTCTTGAAAATCAGGATAATTGAAGCTATTGCCCAAGTAAATGAAGAAATGATACATTCGACCTATGCTGCATTTAGAAAAATATTGGAGGTGTGTTGAACTTGGCGGACTTCATGTAGAATAGTTTTATAATGGCGCGTACATACTGATTCTGCTGTGTTCTCAAAATAAATGTTGGATTAATGTTTTTGAGGTTTTTGATCCCCCTGTATAAAAAATAAATTATTAATATGCAAACATGTGTATCTGTTTTTCAATAAAGCAATATTTTTTAAATAGAAAGGCTTATCCGAAAGTATTAAAAAATAAGCAGTCCTAGAATATCCTAGAATGTCGAGTATTAACTAGAAGGCTATGCTTTCATATTTAAACGTAAAGTTTAATTCCAAGCAACTTTTCCCCATTACTTTTTCACGTAGTGTTAAGATTTAAGGTACTTTACTCTTCACTGTTTTTACCTTTTCCAAATTTTTAACACCCTGTACATTAAATTGAACAAATGACTATCTTGCCAAGGGCTTCTGGACAAGCAAAAATTTTTATGAAGAATGATTTTTTTTTGACAATTGAAATTTCCCCGAACTGGGGACACCCTGTAGATTTCCCTTTTTCGTTTTCGGTTATTTTATGTTACTTTATTCCTACTACTATGGGTGAAACAAAAGGTAGGAGGCGAGCAACCTCCTTCATGGAAGTTTTGTCGTGGTCTTTCAGATTGTTATGCCACAGCCCATGTCGCCGCCAGTTACGGACATATATTGCGCTGCCTAACCTTAGCTAGAAATCTTTGACCTGTCTTTGTTGTTCAAGGCATCCTCAGTTAGGCCAGGAAAAAGAGTAGGGAAATGACCATTTCGCGACTTTTTGTTTCGACAAGTTGAATTTATCACTATAGATGCTAAATATTGTATGCAATAACATATTAGTTTCCACAGTCATAAAAATGGGGGAAGATTGTTTACAGGGTGGTTAATTGTATAATTTTTTACGTAAATTTACGTTTTTCGCTTATAACTTTTTTCCGTTCATTTCCACGAGAAAACAGTAAGGTACTTTTTTTTCGTCTTCAAATACCTACAAAACTACCACTCGAGCGTTAAAAAATATTGATTAGATCAAAAGTTATAAACAGAAGAATTTTATTTATGACATTTGAATTAAACATTTATAAACTACGTTATTATTACCAGAACGTTTTGGCAACGCATCCTCTCATTCCTTATCACTGTCTAATAACTCACACGAAATCTGGAATCGGTAAGTTGAATAGTTTACAAGTTATGGCCTTATAAACAAATGAACTAATTATTAGTCTGGGTGATCCCGAGCATCTTCCACAATCGCACTGATTTTTTTCTAGGTAGATTTCATAATAATACATTGAAATTTATCATGTTTTTTAAATTTCAAATTTGCAACCTGGATTTTTTTTTATTTTTTAACCTTACTTGCAAAATTAAATATACGACGCACGCGCGTGATATAGTTATATATTATTACATATTCCGAAAGCTTATGAAAAGAGCTTTAAGTTAAAAAAAATCATTAAGATTCGTTGAAAAAGAACGGAGTTACTGACTGTCAAATATATTATTTTCAAACGAATTTCGCTTTTTTAACGGCAGGACTATGAAAATTATCGTAATTTTCTTCGGACTCGTTGTCGTTCGCTTTCCCTACCCTTCCACCACGCCATGGCTCGCCGAAAAATCAAAAGACCCACTGACTTTTAACAATATTTCTTATGCGCTTAACATACTTCCACAAATAAAATGATTTTTATCTGGGAAAGTACTCGGGTTGCCGGTTATGACAATATTTTTTTTGCCGCTACCAACCTAATTTGTTTAACAATAGGCCGTCAATTTTGACAGTCTGTAACTGCGTTGTGTTTCAACGAATCTTGACGATTTTTTTTAACTTAGGGCTTTTTTAATAAGTTTTCCGAATATGTAATAATATATAACTATATCACGCACGTGCGTCGTATATTTCATTTTGCAACTAAGGCTAAAAAATAAAAAAAAATCCAGCTTGCAGAGAAATTAAAAAAAAATTATAGATTTCAATGTACTATTATGAAATCTACCACGAAAAAAATCAGTGCGATTATGCTCGGGATCGTCCATATCGTAATAATTAGTTAATTTGTTTATAAGGCCATAACTATTCAACTTACCGATTCCAGATTTCGTGTGAGACAGTGATAAGGAATGAGAGGACGCGATGCCAAAACGTTGTGGTAATAATAACGCAGTTTATAAATGTTTAATTCAAAAGTCATACATAAACTTCTGTTTATAACGTTTGATCTAATCAATATTTTTTAACGCTCGAGGGCTAGTTTTATAGGTCTCTTGAAGTGAAAAAAAGTACATTACTGTTTTCTCGTGGAAATGAACGGAAAAAAGTTATAAGCGAAAAACGTGAATTTACGTAAAAATTATACAATTAACCACCCTGTAAACAATCTTCCCCCCATTTTTATGGCTGTGGAAACTAATATGTTATTGTACATAATATCATCATCTATAGTGATAAATTCAACTTGCCGAAACAAAAAGTTGCGCCCAACTCTATATTTCCTGGCCTACAGTGGCGATTCTGCAAAAGCTTCGCTCCGACCGAGGTCCTACCAACATCAGGGCGGGCCTGGTTGTAATAGTGGGTCTGCTCCCACTGAGCTTAGTCCTAGAACATCAAGCTAAGCTAGGGAAGTTAAGGCTAAGGAAGTGGAATACAAGTCTATAAGTAGCGGTCTATAATAATAATAATAATAATAATAATAATAATAATAATAATAACAATCCGAAAAATCTTGAAACTTTAAATAAATTTGTGTAGCTTTTAATACAGCGACGTATAGGCCACATAAGCTGGACGCGAGCCTTTCTTATATTAATCGCGATCAATGTTGCTTGACTTTTCATTTCGCTGACATAAATTTTTGTCCTTAATTTAGTTAAGTATTGCCCTAAAGTATAACGCAATTTCCATGGCATTGGAAACGAAAAAAAGCAATCGTTTGAAATGAATATTATAAACAGTGCTATGTTAACATAAAAAATATAAAACGTTCTTTTTGTCATATTGCAGATGAAAAAGTATTTTAGATCAAAGAAGTTCTCGAAATCGAAAGAATTTAAAACAAAATATGTCTACTAAAAGAGTAGATACGTATAATTAAGCAACTCCACGTTGGATACGTCCCCTTGGCGAAAAAAAAATTCAAGCGTGATGTTTAAACGTGTCTGTGTCGTCTGGTTCCGTGCTACTGACCGTCCTGTTGGCGAGATTTTTCACTCTGCAGTTCAGATAAGCTGTCTTGCCGAGCAGCGCCGTGACGTTCTTCGACGCCGCTGCGTCGAAGTGCGGCCCTCTGGTCGTGCTCTCCGTCAAGGAGTTGCCACTGCTACCGCTGCCAGTCTGTGCTCCCAGAACTGAAAAAAAAAGAACAGCGGCGTTACTAAAAGTAGAAATAAGTAACTACATATAATAAAAATATGTTTTTAATTGCAAAAACATGGTTGTAATTCTATAATCAGGAATCTATTACAATGAAAAGACAATACAGGTGCTGTGAGATTATAATCAGCTGACTTTTCCTCTATTAAAATACGTTGTAAATATAAAGTGCACATGACAATAATTCTAGTAGATAAACAAGGACATAAAAATGTATTTATGCTCGGAACAAGTTGCAAAATTACTCGGAAAATCCAATATTTTACCTATATCATACGATTTAGAGTGCTTTTTGATATATAGTTTCCCTAATCTTATATGCAAGTTGGGTCCGTTGGGACCGTTGTTCTTGGCTTCGACTAGATCAGATAACAATGCACTTGGCAAAACTACCGGAAACACTGGGGGCATTTTAAAATAAGTCTGGGATGGTATCTGCTACTTCCAATAACGAAAAGTTAAATTAACTGTCTAGTGTTTTTCAGGTAAGTGCAGCAAAACGTACATGTTCAACACTTTTTAGTTTATTCGTCTAATTTAAAAAGTCGTCACAATTATAATCTTTATTATACTCGACATTGACCTGTGATCGTGATGAAAAATAATAAAACAAGTTCATATGGACGCAGTTTGGAACCGCATTGACTCAAATAATTTCGAATATTTTTTTTGTTACCTACTGCCACTTTTTCTGAGAAAAGACAACCGAAGAATCGTTTTTAAGATAAACGCGTTTAACGATGAAGATACTGTACTATTTTCGACATGTCTTAACACAAATAAATATACGAAAACAAAAATTAGTTGCAGCAAAGTAAAAAGGTAAACCTACATGCCATTTGGCATTATGTATTGGTTTTGCTACATACAGAATCAATTACTGTTTTCAGATATTATTACAATATGCCGGAAATGAAACACATAAAAAATGGATAAACACATTTAACCGAAGTTAAATATGTTTATCTCAAAAACTGTTTATTCCATTTCATCTAAAAAAGTACGAAAGTCCTACAAAATGGAATAAGAATTAAACAGTATTGTTACGTTTATTAATAGATAAGTTAAAAAATAAAAATTCGTCAAGAACAGATGATATTCCTATGTTTCTTCTCAAGAGAGTCACTCGTTTTATTATTTCTGTTTATTCACAAGTTGACCCAAGCCTCTATATTTTATATGTTATATTCTAAGGTACAGACAACAAATCACACTTTTCGTAAGACAATGATAGAACAAAAAACCCATGTAAACTATAACAAAGTTGAAATACAAGGATTTTTAAAATTTTTCTGAGTGAAAGAAAGATCACGAAAAACATGGGCACCCATCGAAATGTACTTTTCCTGTTTTGTCGAGAATTTTGTAAAAAATACTCAATAATTGTGATTAATCCATGTTTCATAAAAGCTTCTGTAGGGTGTGATTATGTTTATAGTACCCCGTGTATTCAATAGGTGTGTAAAGTTCAGGAAATGTATTGATAAACACAAGAAGTAAAAATATGATTTTTTCCTTATTTTGGATATATTGTCAGCTCGTAAACTGTCTTATACTCTGAAGAAAACTTGTATAACTAGTAAAGTGAAGAGATATTGTTTCTAATTGGCTTAGATTTTCTAAATCGCTCGTTGGAAGACTGCTATAAATTCACTGCTATAAATTCAACTGGTACAGTGAAGAGATATTGTCACTAATTTACTTAGATTTTCTAAATCACTCGTTGGAAGACTGCTATAAATTCACTGAAAATTTTCACTGAAAATTGCTGCTATAATTCGCTGCTATAAATTCACTGCTATAAATTCACTGCTGCTATAAATTCACTGCTACAAATTCAACTGGTACAGTGAAGAGATTTGTTTCTATCTTGCTTACATTTTCTAAATCACTCGTTGGAAGACTACTATAAAATTATTGCTATAAATTCACTGCTATAAATTGAATACTATAAATTCACTGCTGCTATTAACTGCTATAAATTCCCTGCTATAAATTTATTGCTGTAAATTCACTGCTATAATGTCACTGCTGGTATAAGTTCATTGCTATAAATTCAGTGCTATAAATTCACTACAGCTATTCAGTGTTATAAATTCCCTGCTATAAATTCACTGCTATAAATTCAGTACTATAAATTTACTGCTGCTGTTTACTGCTATAAATTCCCTGCTATAATGTCACTGCCACTATAAATTCACTGCTGATATAAATTCACTGCTGCTATAAATTTACTGCTATAAATTCAGAGCTATAAATTCACTGCGGCTATTCACTGCTATAAATTCACTGTTATAATGTCACTGCTGCTATAAATTCACTGCTGCTATAAATTCACTGTTGCCATTAATGCACTGCTGCCGTAAATGCATAAATGCACTGCTGTCATAAATTCACTGCTGGGGAATTCACTGAAAATTATGCACAAAAATTGACCCAGCCATCTATAGAATTTTAGTACATCCATCTAATAGATTCAATTTCATAGATTTTGAAATATGTACAGTACGTCCCAAAAACAAAATAAAATATAAATATGTTTCTTTAGTTAACTAGGTGGATGTTTGCACTCTTTTCATTGGCTGTCAAGCTGCCTGTAACAAAAACTCGCACACCTTCGCAAACAGGGAGGAAAAAAGAAGACCGAGTGTGTGCCAGCGCATATGTATGTGGAGAGACTGACCATTAATTACTCAACGTTCCGGTGGTTAAATGATGGTCTGGCCTACTTCTCGCCTCACAAAAGGTGATGAATTATTCTTTTTGATGTTCGAAAGATTACATAATTTACCGGGAACATTATCCCCCTTTTATATTAACAAAATCAATCCGAGTATAAATAATTCCCCTTTATATAAACTTCTGCTCGCATTCAGCGCTTAATCAAATTGTTTTGGATCTTTTTATAAATCGGCCCGGTAATAAATAACCTCAAAAATCTAATAAAGTTATGTGTTTTCGTCTCGGTTCACCCGAAACTTATTGGATAAACTCGACTCTATTATGGTCCAATCCACATAGGAAGATTGGGCGATCTCAAATGACGCATTTTCGGAAGTAATTCGATTCGCTTTGTATAGTCTCCATGCGTCGACGAACCTCTAAATAAATTTCAAACTTTCCTACGAATTACCCCGAATATACAGTTGTCCCTTTGTCCAAATCCAGTGTAAACCTATTGCCCGCGATTACCAATCATTGGTTGTCTAGTCAGTCAGTTGATTTCAATTCTTATGTGAGTGAAATATAAAACGGAATAAAAAATATTTCACTGTGGATTATCCCATCGGATAATGTACACTAAAAATTTTGTGTAAAACAGACTAGTAGATCATTGCATTAAGGGAAATCGAGCAAAAGAAAATTTTGTTAAGATAATCTGTATTATAATAGCAATTTTTTTTGTTAGTATTAAAATATCATAAGTCAGGCTTAGAAAAAATTAATTATTTTGGTAACTGGACTTAATTACCCTCTGTCCAAACTTGACTCGAACAAGAGGTCACTTTTAAAGAGTCTGTAACCATTCCAATTTTCAAATCTGGGGACAGGTAACTAGTTAATAATTACACAGTGCCACAAAAAAGTGGGATGTCCGAAAGATAAGACCATAATATCTACATGGTTTTGAGGTCGCTAAATCAAGGTCAAATATAGATAATCAATTTCCAACAAAGTAAACCTACATATTTATACGTTTTTGGGAACACTGAATCCGAATCCGGTGTCCGTTTGACCCGATTAACTCTGAGTCAAGGTCAGTTCAAGGTCAAATGTCTTCAACTACCAACATAGTAAACCTACAGATCCATACGTTTTTGGTGTCGCTCAATCTGAATCCAGTATACACTTGACCTGATCGGGTCTGGCTTAAGGTCAGTTCAAGGTCAAATGTAGAGAATCAATTGCCAACAAGGTAAACCTGCATATTTATACGTTTTTGAGGTTCCTGAATATGAATCTGGAGTCCGTTTGACCCGATCCAGTGTGTTAAATACTCTTAAATTCTAAACTCAATACATTAAAGTTAAGCATTTAGATAGATAATATATTGGTTTACGTTGTTGGCGATTGATTTTTTATATTTGACCTTGAACTGACCTTAATCCAGATCTATTCGGGTCAAACAGACACTGGATTCGGATTCAGTGACCACAAAAATTTATAGAAAGTTAAATTTACTTTGTTGGCAATTGATTCTCTACATTTGAGCTTGAATTGAACTCAACCCAAAGCCAATTGGGTAAAACGGACAGCGAATTCGGATACAGCAACCCCAAAAGCGTATAGATATGTAGGTTTACTTGGTTGGCAATTGATTCTCTATATTTGACCTTGAAGTAAACAATTCAAATCAGACCTGATGGGGTCAAACAAGCACCGGATTGGGGTTCAGCGACCCCAAAAAAATGGTCTTGTCTTTCGGATCTCCTACATTTTTTTATGGGACTGCGTTATCAGCCAATCACTCTTATAAATAATTTTGCTAAAGTCTTCGAAAAACCATTGCAAAACAAATTACAATATTTTATAAAGAAAAAATTATAGCCAGTTTAGTTTTAGAAACCAAATGTCTACTGAAGACGCTGTCCATCAACTTGTATGTAACATTGTTAATAAATTAGATAAATAAAATAAATGTTGATTTATATAAATACCATATCTAATTTATCTAACTCTACCGCTACAGTTAATTCATATGCAGACGATACAGCTAAATTATTTGCTGGTGACCATTGACCTAAGGTATATTACAAAGCGGGACTTCTTTAACTGGTTAAGTTGCAGTCTTCTTGGTCTTAACGTGGAGACGGCTAGGTTTATTAATTTTACATCATCAACAGCTGATCAACCCCCTATTAATATAAAAAGTAAATTCTCTAAAATATTTAGGAATAATGATCGATCAGATGCTACGTTATGTTGAACACATCGAATACAGTGTAAAAACCAGTTAAGTAATATTCTGGATGGAAAACATATTTTTATTGTTTATGAAGCATGGCAGTGTTTATTTTAAGATATTCCGTAACTGTTTGGGGTGGTTTGTACAAATCATCGAGACATAGTTTAAATGTACATGTAAAATAGTTTATTGAAAATTAGTTTAAATTTATTCCACTGAAGCCTTATATAAAGAAGCTAATTTGTTTAAACTCAGATTCGTCACTGTTTATTGCTTTTATTCCATATTGATCCTGAGTTCTGTAGGTAAAAGTCAAAATATATGAACAAATAAAATGTGTAAGTGAGGACTACATCTAGTGGCCAATGCCACTACAACAAAGGGATTTAATGATAGCAGATTTCTCTATGTATGTACAGTAATAGCATTCGGTGTAATATAGTCTGATTGGTCGAGTAAGACCAAGTGTAAACTCACATACTTATATTCGTATATTTACATGAAA